TAACAAAATAAGAGTAGATGTTAGCAGACGACAGATTATTATCGTAGAAAATTTATTTTTTGGCGACTAGAGTTATAAAATTGAATTCAAATTCACACATCTTTGTTCAACATACGAGCATTACACTCACTTATTGATAGTCAAAATACTACCCCGGTTCGGAAAAGAAAGCCACTGTGCTGAGAAGAATTGGCGAAAGAAACTCAGCGGGCTATTTTTTTTATACTTACGAATAATCTGTTAGGGTGCAATACCCCTAAACATTTACGTAAATTAAGTGTTCACTGCAGTACTCTTGTCGCTTACTAGAGTATCTTCACTTTTCTCACGTGAATTTAGCGACGTAACAAACCGTGGCATCAAAAGTTTAGGTTAGCGTCGGTTAAAAAGCGACAAGCGCCAGTACCGACCCACTTCCCGGTGCTAACAAAAAATTAACTGTTTCAGCACGCGAATCAAATTTAATATGCATGCCTCTTAGTCTCTAATAGTGTTGGGATTATATTTGTCCCATCCGATATCGACACTTTTTTATTATACAAAATAGAATTATTTTGACATATCTTAAGCTCCACGCAACATAATTTTATAATTTCCACTTATTAACCATATATAAATGTTTTACTAGTGCCTTTTTAGCTCACCAATCAAAAATCGATTAATAAAAACCCATGAATAACAAGTAAACCGATTAAATAATTTATAGATATAAAAAAAGTTACTCGTGCTGTTGAAATATGAGCATTCATGTTTATTCAAACAAGCGTTTGGGTTCATTAAATTTAATCGATAAACCACGTCTCTCACTTGATTAGTTAACAAGGCGATTATTGCTGGGGGCGGTGCAAGCCCACTCGGTAATCACTCGAATGTTCTCTAACGTTGGATACAATTACGTTAAAACCGACCTGCAGGAAAATAAATCATCTAGCCGAGCTCGACTACGTCCACTTTGTGAGACATTCGTTTATTTGTTTTGTATAGCTGGCCAAGGTACGGATTCCTTCGCTTTTATGTAAACGTTTGTGTGCATATTCGCGCGTTTTCATGATTCATACACCTTTGCGTCTAAAGTGAAAATACGCTCTTTTTTCCAGTACTTTTGATTTTTTTCTTAAATATATATATATATATATAAAATAACAGTTAACATTTAATTGGCTTAGTGGATAGTGACATTGTCTCCTGCGCCAGAGGGTGTGGGTTCGATCCCCACTACTGGAAAAATTTCGATGTGATGAACATAGTGTTTTTCTAGTGTCTGTGTTACGTATCGATAATATGTATTTATTTACAAAATAAAAGTATGTTTAAGTATGTATATCAGTTATCTAGTGTCGATAGTATAGCTTTTTTTTGGGACAAGCTAAGGTTGTGTAAAAATATGTCCCGCAATTTTTTTTATTATAGCTTTTTGTTATTAGACACTTAATTTTGTTAAGTTATTCTGGAAACAAACTCGTCTACTTTTTGAAGGAATAAATATAGTGTGATGGCAATATCAATTTTTGATTACAAGTCTATGATTACATTCTTGGCCTAGTTCAGTTTTTTGCTGTTTTCGTATATATAGTGGAGTGGAAAAATTACTTTTTGTATTTAGATCACCACTAGAAATATTAGTATTGAGCATATTATAATATTGTTATGTTATCCTGTGTAGGACAGGATAGGTGTCAATATTATTACAGGACAAGACAAAATTTAATTTTAAACAATTTGCGTCAAAAATAATATTGAACTATTATCTAAACACCAAAAGAAATACTAGGCAGTTGAAAAATGTTTTACAAATGCGTATTCAATTATATGTGATAGAAAGATTTTATTATTTATGACAATTTTTTTATATGTATGTATATATATTAACATAAATACAGCTTTACCATATTCTTACTTAACGTGCTAGACGGTCTGAACATTCATTTTGCAGTTGGTAAACAATGAGTTAAGCTAAAGTTTAAGCAATAACGAATCAATGGGTGGTCCATTGACCGTGATATGATGACAAATTGCCGTATGCTTGTTTAGGCAACGCATATCTCAATTACCGCGCCTGACCAATTACGTTGAAGCTGTTCCCATGGGCGAGCGACTATCGGTTATGTTCCCCGGCCATCTACGATCCCAACTTTGTAATTACGCGCTTGCTATAACGCTGTAAGCTTTTTTTTATGGTATTGAATTATTTATACGCACCGTAAAGTGACGGTGTCCGTTGAAACAATAAGACCGGGATCCGGTTCTATAAGTATATTCATTTTAGACTTGCTTTATAGACCCGGCAAGATATTATGATAAGAGAAACAACAGGCTGGGCCGATCGTATGTTAAGTGGGCATAATGGCATAGACTATTGACTGAATACGATAAATTTAAATCGCTTCTCGTTAGGTAATATATGCAACATACGAATTGCTCTGTGAATATCAATGCGATTGCTAGTTGAAATTCTAATACACAATACAAGGGTTCAAGAAAGTCGAACTCTCATCGCTTATGAGTTATTGGCTGGAAACAAACTTCACGTGGTTTACCTTGTTGCCATGGTATCCGAGTTTAAATGCTCGCTTTTAATTCAATGTACTGCATTTAAATGCCAATGATATTGTTAAATACAAACTGAGTCCGTATTTGCCACATGCTTGGCAGTGTTAGAAAACAGCATGAGATCTGTATCTATATCTGTATACATTATAAAATATATTCTGAACATAATTATGTGAAATCTATCTGCAGATAACGTGGTTTAGTTTGCCCTAACACTCTCAGGACAGGGAAGGCTATTGCCCAAAATTGAGATATACATTTGTACTACCTATCTGTTACTTTTCCTGTACTTGCCTGTTATCTAACGTACACAATTGGGAATATGCTCTATTAAATAAGCTGATGGTACGGTTTTCCTGGTTAAGAAGGGTTTACATTATTGTATTTAATGTGTCAACTAGCAAATGCTGCTGGCATCACTAGTCGTTGCGAAAGACAACAACAACAACAAAAAAAACCTTAATCGTTTTTATAGCCCTTAATATAAGTGAATACGCTAACTTTGAAAGCATATGGCGTCGTGGAAAACTATAACGCGAGGCTTTTATCTCCTTTTCGCGGGTGCCCGAGCAGAAGTTTTGTAAAGTTTAGCAACACAACAGGTGCTCCTGATGTCGACGTATTAGTCCTAAAAAAAACATGCCCGAGTACAATTTTGCAATGGACAACGTTTTTCGTTGGAGAGTCGAATAAAAAATAAATAACACAAACAGAATATTTTTCGTTAACTCGAGCGAAAGCTCAGCTGTGGCTTGAATTCGTAAAATTTGTTTCATACTTTTGTATTGTTTGGTATTTACTCGCGTGTATGTATGTTAAGCAAATCTTATCCTTTAAACGAGCAATTCTTGTATATATATAATCGGAATCTCGGAAACGACTCTAGCGATTTTCATGAAATTTAGTATCTGCGTAGATTCGGGGGCGAAAAATCGATCTAGCTAGGTTCCATTTTTAGAAAATGTTCTTTTATCCCTGTTTTCAGGGAATGAAAAATATCATTCGAATATGACGGTAAATTTCGCCGCAAAAAAAAATGTTATAATAGCTCGGTCGGTAATCGGGCGGCCCCAAAACAGACGGCCGTGGTTCGTATCACGATCATTTGCACACTTATTTTTTTTACTTTTTTTCTATACCAGATCATTGCTTTCTTTATTTTTTATTTTTTTATTTCCAAAATACATGATTTACCAAAAAAAAAAAAGAGCAAAGCTCGGTCCTCCAGATACTGTTAGTTTAATTTGTTAATGTCTTAAACCTGTTTCTATCTATCAATGTATAATTTTACACAACTTCAACATAATGACTATAAAATTATTTTGAATGAGGAATTTCGTAACAGGTTATTTCATTTACCGTCTCTACAATAAATGTCTGAAAATCTTACCTACTTACAGAGCATCTATTAAATTTAAACTTCACTATAAGTCTAATTAAAAGTAGTTTAAGAAAAATAAAACATTGTTATACCAAATCAAACTGAAAACTGTTGTTTTTAAATAATCAGATTTTGTTTAGTAGTAAAATAACTTAACTTAGTTTCTATATTCATACTACATTTCTAAAAATATAGTTATTCTTAGTATGAAGATATATGATAAATCACCACAATATTTTCTTACAATATCTTTTATTTTTATCTTTTTATGATTATTATATTGCGTTAGTTGACTTTCTAGTCCATTTTATATTAAAATATGTTTTTTTTTTTATATTAAAATATGTTTTTTTTAATTTTACTTCATAAGTTTTTGGTACTGAGTGGTTCCCATTACATTTTGAAAGAGGAAGGTTTTTTGTCACACAAATGGGACGTCATAAATAAGTGAATTGTGATAAAAATAGCATAAATTAAGTATAATGATAATTATCATCGCCAATAATTTTAAATTATTTAATTCCCGTAAATTTATAAGAAAATTTTTTTCATAGGTTTATAAATCTTACAAAAATATTTTATTTTCTTGACTACCGCAGTAAAATATAATCGATATTAAAAGTATTCCCTTACTTGTTCTATTAACAATCTAAGAATGACGTTGATGTAATTGTTGTTTTGCATAAAAAACTGTGTGCAGGAAATTTTTGTAGGCTCCTCCATTACGGCCTTTGTTTATAATTAACGCTCGATACAACCGCGCGGGAATAATTCAGTGGCTCATGCACCCTTGATAATACCTATGAGATGAAGTTTCCTTAGACGCCGGGCGGGTGGCGGTGGCGGGGCGTCGGCGGGCGTCGTGGGGCGGAGCCACCAAGCGTCGCTCAGTCGGTGGGCAACCGCCATCCGAGTCAGACGCTGACCATAGCCGCGCACGAACTATGCCACGCGTTCCGCGATGTCGTTACCAACGCTTGAATGTTTATGACGCGACAAACAACACCGCCTCGTTATAAATGGCAGAGCAGAGCCCGATGACTTGCCGCAGCTCGCCAAAGACCGTAAAATGCCAATAAAGGAAAACGCCGCGAATAGACTCGAGCGACGAAACTTCAATCGTATCATTGTGTGTGTGCTGTTCTACTGTCATGCTGTGGAGAGGAGTTCCGCGGCAGAGATGCCGCACGAGTGCGCCTACCGCAGCCTCGAAGCGGAAGCGCCGGAGAACGCTGTCCTCTTCTGTAAGATCCGCACCATCAGCAGCCTAGAGCATCTGTTGCAGAACATCAGCCGGACGCACTTCGATGAACTGATCTCTCTGCACGTGCAGTGCAGCGAGATTTTGTTCTTCGAGAGTACGCTCACAGCACGCGCGGATAAATCATCGGGGAAGAGCACCAACTTGAGCAAATTGCGCGATCTCGTCATCGACAAATGCAAGATACGCCAGATACCGGCGCGCGCTTTCGAAAACTTTAAAGATCTGAAGCGGTTGCACGTTACGACGCACAACAGTGAATGGTCCGCTATGACGATGGAGCTGCACGAGCACGCGTTTTCAGGTTTGAACGAACTTATCGAGCTCGATCTAAGTGATAACAACATCTGGAGCACAAAAACCGAGACATTCTGTTGGTTGTACAGTTTGAAAACGTTGAATTTGAGCAAAAATCATTTGCAAAACATTAAGACTGTTGGTTTCTCCGACTCGTTGAGAGAACAGAACTTAAGCGTTAGAAGTTGTAATTTAGTGTTAGAGACACTTGATTTATCTTATAACGATTTGATTGTTGTTACTGATAACGGCCTATCAAAGTTGCGTTCGTTGTCCACATTGTTTCTTCAACACAACGCGATCTCGAGCCTCGAAGTAGGTGCTTTTGGGGGTTTGCTCAATTTACAGGTTTTGAATTTATCCAGTAATTTCATCAACACGATTCCACCCGATTTGTTTACCGACACTAAAGCGTTGAAAGAAATCATACTGAGTAACAATACGATTAATACGCTACCACCCGGGTTGTTTGAAGGATTAGATCAACTTCAAACATTAGATCTATCGCACAACGACCTAACTAGTCAGTGGATTAATCAAGGCTCATTTGTAGGATTATTACGTATGGTGATATTAAATTTATCGTATAACAGACTTACAAAAATTGATCGTTACATGTTTCAGGATTTGTATAGTTTGCAAAAGCTAAATCTGGAGCATAATGAAATTGTAACTATTGAGGAGCATGCTTTCGAGGAATTAAGAAATTTGCATTCACTCACATTATCGCATAATAAACTTTCACATATTCATACGTATCTATTCACCGATTTGCATGTTTTACATGAGTTGTTCATTGATAATAATAAAATAAAACACATTGATGAGAAAGCTTTTGATAATATGACTACCATCGAGGATTTAAGCTTAAATGATAATTTAATGTCGTCGATTCCCTCGTCTATACGCAAATTACGGTCACTAAGGTCACTCGACATTGGGAACAACAACATAACCCACCTAAGCCGTGATAACTTTCGTGGCTTGTCTGAACTATTCGGCTTGCGACTAGTAGATAACAAAGTTACTAATTTAAATGAGGATACCTTTGAGCATTTGCCTCAATTACAAGTGCTTAATTTGGCCTCGAATAAAATTAAACACGTAACGCCTGGTTGTTTTCGCAAAAATATTAATTTAAAATTACTACGTATGGATGGGAATGAAATTACAACGTTCGACGGAATATTTTCAACTTTAAACAGTTTAGTTTGGCTCAACATGTCCACGAATAAAATCATGTCGTTCGACTTTAAAAGTTTCCCTAATAGCCTAGAATGGTTGGATTTACATATGAACTACATTGAAAGTTTCTTTAATGACGATATGTACTCTAAAGGTAACATAAAACTATTAGATTTAAGTCACAATAATATAACTCAACTAACCGTAACATCAATACCAAAAACAGTTGAAAAGCTGTATTTGAACGACAATCATATTCAACACATACAGGTTGGTACGTTTTCGAAACTTCAGAGGTTGTCGACAGTGACTTTAAATAACAATAAACTAGTTCAACTTGACATGAATGCTTTCAGGTTAGATCAGATTAATGAAGACAGCGATTTGCCTGAGTTCTTTATAAGCGGAAACCCATTTGTTTGTGACTGTTCAATGGAATGGATTCAACGCATTAATTATTTGAGCCATAGCCGACAGTATCCTCGTGTGTTAGACTTGGACAAAGCGTATTGTTCACTCGTACACTCTCGCGCTAAACAGAAAAAGATGATTATAGACATGTCGCCTTCCGATTTTCTCTGTCCGTACGAAAGCCATTGTTTCGCCCTTTGTCATTGCTGTGACTTCGTTGCTTGCGATTGTGAAATGATTTGTCCCAATAATTGTAGATGTTATCACGACATTACATGGAATGCGAATGTCGTGGACTGCTCCAATGCTGGCTACACCGAGGTTCCCGATCGTATGCCTATGGATGCCACTGAAATATATTTGGATGGAAACCATATTACTAATTTGGGAAATCACGTTTTCATTGGGAAAAAGAAATTACAAGTTCTATTTCTCAATAATACAAAACTAAAGGAAGTAAATAATCAAACGTTCAAAGGAGTCGATTCTTTGCGCGTCTTGCATTTAGAAAACAATAGGCTGGTTGAATTAAAAGGAGATGAGTTTTTGCACCTTAATAATTTGAATGAACTATATTTAGATCATAACGCAATAGTTCATGTAGCTAATAACACCTTTTCCTCGTTAAAATCGCTTTCAGTTCTCAGAATTGATGATAACAAGCTTGTTAATTTTTTCCCATGGAAATTACTCGCCTCATCTTCTAAGAGCTTGGCTCATGTTTCTATAGAAGGCAATCAGTACTCATGCGACTGTAAAAGTATTGCAGAACTGGATTCATGGCTTCGGAGGGATCCTGGTGATCCTGAAAAAATGTTATGTACGGACAACGAAGGAAAACCCACTAAAATAACCATAGCTTCTGTTTTAAGTCATTGCAAAGAATATATGGGGTCAATGAACGATCCCACGGTGTCCAAGAACGAAATCGTTTCAAAGTCATTGTTTTTCCCCGACAACTATTTCGCTGTTATTTGCGGCGTGATAATAATTGTTGTATTGATCTGTCTGATAGGTGCAATTTTCTACGCTTTCAGATACGATGTCAGCGACTGGTTGTATACAAAGTATGGGGTGCCTTTGTTCAAAGAACAGTCGTGCCCCAACGTCGATATATTAGATGGCAACCCAAATCACATGTACGACTATTACGTGATATGCAATACCAAAGACACACAATTTATTTATCATAATATTATGTCTGAGATAGAGTTCCGAAAAATGACGGCAAAGAAGTTATGCATGAACGAGTCCTCTCTAAATATTTTAACCTTAGATAGTTTTTCTAAGTCTTCGAAACTGACCAAACGTCTATTGGTGATTCTAACAACAAACTTTATATGCAACGATCTCTGCGACATCCATTTCAAAAACATGTTTTATAGTTATTTAAAATCATTAAATCGCAGTGATTTGAATAAGGTGATATTCATTAAGATTGTTGATAACAACCAAATAAATGATGATCTTGGATTTTTATTGGATAAATTCAAGAATATATCGTGGAATGATCCGCGGTTTTGGGACAGATTTGTTGCCCTGCTCAATTCCACCGACACTATTATAACCGTTAAGGGTTCCGAAAAGAGTGTTTTCAAGAAGTCGCTTCGTCACACGCCGACGTTGAGGTACACAACGATGCCCGTTTCGAACGACACTTGCTCGAAGCCGAGCTTCACAAATTCATTGCAGTACAACAAAAGGAATGACGGGGATTCGTCGCAGAATGAAAGTTCCCCTTCCTCCGATAATAACACCTATGGCGAAGGGAACAACTCGAACAATAGTTACATGTCTATCGAGAACAGGACATGTCCGCGTTTTAATTATGACCTGCGGCTGTCCCCTAGTAGTGGTCACGTATATTCTAGGGTGGAGGACATTTCCCCTTCCGCGTCGCGTTCCATTACGGGCTCTTCTTCGGCTAAAGGACGCACGTATTTCGTTTGAGCAAAATCGAAAGTTATATAAGTTTTTTTCATACTTCTCCAATTTGCGTTTCATATTAAATATTTAGCACCCGACCTGCGGTTCTACACTAAATCAACGGGTCGCGCACATTGTAAATAACAGCAAAAAATTAATAAATATTTGTCAATTTTAACATACGTAATAAGGCCTACAAATGACAAGTTACGAGTTGTAAGTTTGAAAAAGATAAAAATTTTATAATAAAATATTTTGTACAAAGGTGAGTCTGATTACGAAGGAAACACTTTTTAAACAATGAAATTTCTATTGATTGTATTTACATAGTTTATTCATGTGAATGTTTTTTTCACAGATTTATTCACTGTAAAACAACACCAAATAGTTTAAGGTCATATAAAACTCTTATACTTACAAGTATTAAATATGATGTAACGAATGTATCTTCTTATTCCTTGTAAGTAAAATTAATTTCCATATATTATTCATTCTCATTCTAGTTGACATCAGCTCTTTCATTTATTTGTACTTATTTTGTTTAATTTTTTTGTGCTAACGTGTTTGTAATTGATGATTTAATGCATTTATTATTTAATTATTGAATGTTTTGTTATTATATTTTTGTTTACTTTCGTTATAAAAATATGAACATGTGTAATTATTGCATTTATCAATGTGCTTTCAAATGAATACGATAAATTTGTATATAAGAAGGATGTTTGCAATGTTATCGTTTATAATGGCATAGTTGTGTCGCTTGAGTACCTATTTAATATTATAATTAAGCTAAATCGTGATATTAGATGTAATAATTATAAATTTGAAAATAAATGTAATTTTTGGATTGTAATTATTAGTCTTAATGAAAATTATTGTTTTGTATAAAAATGTACAAAGATATCTTGAAGCCGTAATAAATTATACTGACGTTTTGATACTCACTTCGCTTTTTTATTTCTAACATCTTTTCCGATTACTTTTTAATTATGTGTCATTATATGATAGAAAAAAAATTCAAGAGATCACTTTTTCTAAAGGAATACTTTCAACACGAAGTGCTTATTTAAGAAGAGGTCATTGCTTCTATAAAAACAGAATTATTATATAAACTTGTCTATTAATATTGACTCAAAAGCTGTAATAAACATTTACAACTAAGCTAGGACCGAATACACTAATGCTACTGTGAAATAACATTATCCTATTTTATAATAAAGATTTACATGTACATATAAATTATACATGAGCATACATGGACATAAAATAATGCAACAATTATTTATAGAGTTCACAAATACTTTCAAACGTAAATCATACCCCCAATACGTAATTCCGACACCCAGTGTACTTACTGCTAACCGAGCAACCATACATTATAGCAAGTTTTATGGCATTACTCCTTACTTTTAGTATAGCTCTTGTGAAGCTTTACTGGTCTAGGACCGCGTATATTTAACACGTAAATATAAATAGTGTATTCAAATAAATACGTCACCCAAAATGGAAGAAAATTATTTAACAACAGTTATTGTTATTGTAGTTTTTAATATTATTATTTTTTTTAAGTCATTGAAATTGCTGCACATTATGCTGTGTTGTAGGCGTTACACAAATTTTAGACGAAATGAAATGGCTTTACATCTTGTACAGTACTTCATTGCAAATGATTACGAGTATGATTGTACAATTAACGTAATTTAATCGATTAGTTCAGTTCGTATGCTTCAGTACGATAGTCTGATTCATTTCTATCGTTGAACGATTTCCCTTTGAAAAACAACAGATTAAAATTTAACCTGCGAATTTTCCCATGTGGTTATCTTTGAACACTTGAAACTAACCCACACATAAAATTTTCACTTATAATGCTAACGCGATACGAACTTACACTAATAAAAGAAGTGGAATAGAAATTATCTTATGTGAATTATAATTTTACCGACTGATTCATTTGAAGTTTTAATTTCTTTAACATCTATTTTGCATATATGGTAGTTATTAACGACAGAAAAGTACACGCATTTTATCAAATTTGCTTTTTATAACCTTTCTATTTTCCCGCTGAGTTTCTTTCGCCGGTTCTTCTCAGGTCAGTGGCTTTTTGTTCCGAACCGGTAGTAGTGTTTTTTGACAATCAATAAGTAGATAAGTTATATGGTATATTGAATAAAGATATTCAAATTTGAATTTGACATAAATAATGTTTTGCGTCATCTAATGAGTTTCCTGTATAGTAAACAACCATTTTTCTCATATAACATTTAAGACCCAAACTGGGGAGATAGCACTTATATCAGCTCTAGTATTTCATTGTAAAATGTTATCATGATAAAAAACACGCTAAAATGTATTCATATCAATTAGAGATTTAACTCCAATGATTAATTTAAGATGTTTATTTTCTACTAGTGACCAATGTTCGAAATACGACCATAAGCATTACTGAAAAATTTATGACATATTATGTTAATATCCTTTCTTCCCATTCTCCCCACATTCATTCATTTTAAATTTGAAACCATACCACACATATTTTTATACATACTTGCAATGTAAAATGTTGACTAGTATAATAAAGAAAAAGTGTTTAAATTTTTTTTTACCTTAAAACCATTTTATCATCAACGTTATAGACAACTTAATAATAAATAAAACGTTTGACAAATACGGCACGTGAAGCTACTGAACTTTATCCTTTATGTATTTAGGTAGGTATGAATAGATTTGTTATGGAGCGCATTATTAAAATTTCTAGAAGCTTTAAGTATTGCAATCTGATTGTTAATAATCTGTTAGAATATAATCGTGTTATTCTGGGCTCTTTTCAAAAAGCGCTGCATTGTAGGCGCGGAGATTGTGCATTTACGTGTGTTGACCTAAAGTGAATGTGAATCATGATAACTATCAATTGTCAATTGAATTGTTCATTCGATCGTTAATTCAAACGGCAAAATGTTGACGGAGCGCGATCCACTTCATAAACAACGCTCTAAGGCAAGCCGCAAGCGAATTTACGCATCGAGGGCCACATTGATAAAGGAGCATAGTTTGTTTCACGAACAATCACGATGGATGTTGGTTGCACTTCGATGTTTTTGACCGTTTGACGATTGCCCTGTGAACAATGTAACAGACCCATCGAACCGAATGCAAAGTCCGCTTGATGGAAGACAAGATTATGAACAAAAAATTTGCGTTGCTTAATTATTGTTTATGTTATTTTCTTTTTTTTTTTTTTTTTTTTTATGCGAAAAAGTTGTCAAACGAGCAGACGGTTCACCTGATGTTAAGTGAATACCACCGCCCATGGACATCTGCTACACTCGAGGGTTACAGATGCGTTGACAACCTTTTGAAAATTGGGCTCCGGCTACCTCACTCACCAGACGAAACGCGAAAGTATTTGTCATACTTCCACTTTACGCCGGTCTTCTGTGAGGTCGTGGTACTTACCCGGACGGGCCTGCCCGTTCGTGCAACAGCCGAGGCTGCTGCGTGGCCCTACCACCGTAATTTATTTTCTTATTTAAACATGATTATTATTAATGACCGTTCAATTTTTATGCTGCTGTTTATTTATTGACTAAAACGTCTGGACGCATGATTCGAAGGTGCACTATGTAAATTTACAAATCATAAGTCGAATTAATCGCCTCAACAATTCCATTATTGTCTATTTTGTTTGTATACGCACATTATTACGTTTTATCGCTTCTAAACAAATCCAAAGTTTCCACAAGAAACGTTTAACGTCAGCGTAACGTTCTTGGGGAGCATAAAAATAACGAGTTTATTGTTGCAGTCAAAGTCGAAACAATTCACAAAGAGTTGGGGATGCCTTAAACACGGTTCGCGGTTTCAACGAAATCCTTCAGTTGTGGCTTCTTCACTTTTAATACTATTGTATACTCGTTCTTTTGAGCCATGGGCTTTGGTTATTCAAATTATTCCCGACTTTATATCGTTAATCGTCATAAATTAACACGCTGACCACCACAGATAAAAGAACACTTTTTTAAGTTTGCTTTTAGTTTAATAAGGTAAGTTAAACGTTAATAAATCGATATTTACATTCTCAGTTATGGTTCAATTACATGAACGTTTGTTTTGTTTGTGTGTGACTAAAGTGACGGAGAATGCTTTGACTCTCTCGCGTTTATGATCGCGTCCATGATATCATGTCGTTGAAGAATTTCATCACGTCCTAATAGCATGTCGCTAACAAGCATATAATTTATAGATATACATATAAATATAGACATACCATATATACAAATACACATCATTATTATTTTTTTGAAAACAACATTACAGACATAAGTAATGATTCTTAATACGATTCTTAAAAATAGATAATGACTGAGCGCGCCTTACTTTTAGCGGTAAGTCATTCCAGAGTCGCGCACCATGCATCGTAAATGACCTATCTACTCATAAACTTTGATTTGCTCGTAGGAATTTTCAACTCCAAGTTTTCTGAAAAGTAACTGCCCATACATGTCCCACTGCTGGGCCAACCCCTCCTCTGTACAGATTATCGGTAGATAGATAAAGGTATCAGGGCATAGTCTACCACACGACTTCACTACTGCTATATACGACGAAATAAAAAGTAAAAGTAAAGTTACAGCCTATACATGTTCCACTGCTGGGCATAGGCCTCCTCTATACAGAGGGTATCAGGGCATAGTCCACCACGCGGCCCCACTGCGGATTGCCGGACTTCATATATTTTCGAAATATATATATTTTTTGTTATTAATTAGAAAATATGCAGGTTTCCTCACGATGTTTTCCTTCACCGCGGAGCACGTTATAAGTCAGCACTTAAAGTTAAAAACTTCATTGGTGCCGGCACCGGGGTATCGAACTCAGGTTGCTCGAGTATATTGAATTAAAGGCGAGCGCCCGGACACTGAGCTATACGACGAAATATTCTTTTGTAATTATTTCGAAAATATGCAGGTTTCCTCACGATGTTTTCCCAACGCTGAGTACGTGATAAGTCAGCACTAAAA